TGTCAACCTCTAGGCCTGCGATAAGATTGTGGATGCCATGACAGTGGACACTCTGACAACCCGATCGTTGGATTTGAAATGTGAACCTCATGTCTTCAGACTGAATGAAGCATGTTTCAAACATGTGTCTTCTACATGTTTCAAGCACGTGTTGAACACCTGCTGGACAGCTGAAAATCATTTGGCAACACGCCTCCTCTTCATCGATCGTCTTCAACCACGATAGGATCGGGGGCGGCCAAAGAGGGGAGTGTCCAAGAGGAGGGGGGGGGGGGGGGGGCAAATCATGGCTGGCGGCACGTGCGCGGCCCAGGGGGGGGGGCCAGGGAACGCATTGAGATAAGAAGAGGCGCCGCGAAATCCGGGAAAGTATCATGGCCACCGCCACGATATCTCCCCTAGTCATAGCCCCCCTCTCTGCCGCCCCCGATAGGAGGCCCTCCTCCCCGCCTCCTCCGCCTCTCTCTCTCTCGCGCCCGCCGAGCGCGCCGCCCGCTCCGCCGCCCCTCGCTCGGCCGCCGCGGCGAGCGACGGCGCGCACGCGCGGGCCGAGCTGCGCGCGCGCGCGCCCGAGCGGAGGGCGGCGGAGCGGGCGGCGGAGCGGGCGGCGACGCCCTCCCCGGAGAGGGGGGGGGCAGCGGCGGTGGGGAGCTGGGCGCGGGCTGGCAGATCCCTGGCTGCGAAAACGGTCCTCCCGGGAAAGAGAGGAGAAAAAGAAGAAGAGATCCCGGAGCAGAACTCGGCGCGCTGAATCATAAGCGGGCTGCCTCCCGGCAGAGAGACAACAACAGCTTCCCGGAGCTCCGTTTTAGCAGCCACGGGCTTGCCAGCCTTCGCCTGGCTTCTGAGATAGGGGGAGACTGACAAGATGGGGCGATGCATCGACCTGGAATCGGCGACACATCGCAGATAGATCGGCGATACGCCCCCGACAGTGGATCCGCACCCTCCTGGGCAGGCTGGGGCCATCGGGCCCCTATTGGCGATCAACCGTCGATTGGGGGTCGATGCATTCCCCCTTATGCCTGCCCCCCCCCGATCGTTGCCCCTGACTTCCCCCCTCCTCCTGCCCCCTTCTGCGCGTGGCAGGTGCGTGCAGGAAGGCGTCTGCACACCACAGGCCGTGCCTGAGCCCGTGCACGGTGCAGGCACCCTCCTGGCCGAGGCCAGGCAGATCTATCCACAAGCCTGGGACCGAGGATTCGCCTCGCCAACCATGGCAGTGATATGTGTGTATATATGCACATGCATAGATGCATACATGCATACACGCATACATGCATGTACGCATGCATACATGTAGACATGCGTACATGCATACATGCATGGGCCGAAGTCCCCCTATACACCTGTATGTGTTATATATATATATATACACAGATACACATATGTATATGTGTGTACATGCACGCATACAACCATACATCCATATATGTATACATACATGCATGCATACATACACACACACACATGCATACGTACATACATGCATACATCCATCCATACATACATGCATGCATGCATGCCTACCTACCTACCTACGTACATTCCTACATTCATATGTACATGCATGCATTCATACATGCATGCATGAATGCATACATACCCACATGCATATACACATACATACAGACATGCATACATACATGCATACGTACATACACACATACACACATGCATACATGCACGCATGCATACATGCATGCACACATACATGCATTCATGCATACATACATGCATGCATACATACATAGTAAAGAGTCGAGGGGCACACACACACACAATAATAGACACCAATCCCAGGATCCCCCATATTTGTTCATACATCTTTTTGAGCTTCATATTCCCCTCCACTTCCTATACTTCCAAATATTTCCTTGGGAATCGACGACTATTTGTGTGTTGAGTGTTTCTCCCCTCCATGATATAGATGCCCTCTGCGGACTCTCCTCCAGTTGTCGAGGCCTCACAACTGGAGTAGTTGGGGTCGGAAGACCGCGCCGTATCGCCGATGCGTGGCCCATGCATCGAAGATGCACCGGTCATGTCAGCGATGCCGTCGGCGTCGGGAAAACCTAACTCCACAGCGAGCCGAATTGCCGATTCATCGACGATGCGGCGCGGTCCTCCGACCCCATCTGCTCGGACCCCACCTGGGAGGCACAGAAATAGCTGGACTTCGGAGGCGGCCACGGGCTCTGAACTGGATGGGCGGGCCCCGAGAAAAGCAGTCGAGCGCGGGGGAAGAGGGCAAATGCACTCAAAATCGCTCCCCGGACCCTCCTCGGGGTCCATCTCATGTAAATGCCCACCCCAAATTAGTTTTTGACGGTCCCGGGGCTCGAACACGGCTCCCCGGGGCTCGACAACGGTCCCGAACCCACGAGCTCGGAACCCGCCCACTCCCCCTTCCTGCCCGCCGGAACCAATGCTGGGCCACCTCCAAGCCCCAGCCAGTCCCAAGGTGGACTGCCCTGGATCAGACAAGGCAGCACGCAGAGGGCAGAGCAGCTGCTTCCTCGGCGCAGCCGCTGCGAGAACGGCGGCCGTCTTTGCGCGCCGCCCTCCTGGACCAGAGCTCTGGGAAGCTCTCCGGCCCAAGCCGCGATGCGCAGCGGTCAAGGGTGACCCAGACTGCGATGGAGCACCAGGCGCAACACAGAAAATGCGAGGACTCCAGGGCACTGCGAGGGACCCAAAGAGCGAGTTCGGATGCCCTGGACTGCGAGAGAGGACCCCGCGTGCGTACGCTTCTCGATGTGGCCGTGTCATCCCTGCGCAGGGGCACGGCTAAGACCCGGAGGTCGGTCGAGAGCCGAGGATCGACCTGGCCTATGGTGGCCTACGCCAGCGGCCTCGAGTGGTAAGCCTTTCTGCTTTTTCCAGAAATCGACTTTGGCCGAAGGGGGGGGGGGGAAACGGAGGGATCTGGGTCAGTGCTCAGGCGATCTGGTTCTGCCAGTCGCGCAAGCAGACTGGGGGGGGGGGGGGCGCGGGTCCTGACAAGTGGCCCAAAGCAGCTGCCAAAAGCGGCCAAGATCGGGTCTACGGGGGGAGAAGGGGGGGGGGGCGCGGGCCCGCGACGATCGGCGAAACCAAAATGAAAGCACGGTTACCAAAGTGGTACTGCTTCAGCTCAATCGGTCCTCCAGACTCAGGTCGGGCATGTCCTCCTACAAGCGGATTTTGGGCGAAGAAAAAAACAATCGCCAGACTATGTTTGTCTAATTTTTACTATGTTTGACATATTCCTCCTGTAGAGGTTAACTCCTAGACGCGAAAGACATCCCCACCTGGAAAGGGGAAGCCTTGGCCCGGCTGGCCGCCCGACCCCCCTGCAGGTGGGGATGAACACCGCCTCTCTCGGGCCTCGCAGCACCCATCCCTGCCTGGAAGAAGCACACTGGGATTATGTTGTCCCCATCGTACTCAAGGACCGCATCCCAGAAATAATTTTGAGCACCCAGAGAAATATCGAAGCAGTGTTGAACGAGAATCGCTTCCCAGGGCCCGGCACGTGAAAACCCTCCAGTTTCGGTACTTTCTTGGTGCTCGAAATGATTCTCTGGTGATCAAGGCTAAAGTAAGTTGCAACATCATAGTACCATAGCACATTGCCCTGTCTAGGTCGCGCTTGGGATGGTCCGGGCGGCAACAGGATCAATCAACATCGAACCGGGAAACCAAATCGGAGCGGAACGTGCGTCGGATCGAGCTGCATCGGCGCGAAGTCGAAACCGAATCGGACCAGCCGCGCCGGGATGCACAGCTGGCGCCGTGCAGGCATCGGGCCGTAATCGGACCGCTGGGAAATCGGCATCGAGCCAGATCGAGCCCAGCGAACTTGAAATCGAATCGGTTCGAATCTGAGGTTGGCGCTGGCGCTGGTGGCGCTGGTGGGGTCTGGCCCAGACGCTGCCAAACCCCTCCCCGGCGGCCGTCCGCCGCCAGGGAAGGCGAAGATTTCGTGTCGTAGATGTCGCAAATAAGAAGATGTTGCCCATAAGCGAGCGATCTAGAATCTAGACGTCCCAAATCGGTAGAAAACAAATGGGCACCATGCCCGACAGCGAGTGCTGTCCGAAACCGACAGCGGCCACTGTTGGCCAGGCGACCATTGGCCTCGACCGGCCAACTTCCGCGGCGACACCGACAGCCAGCTTTTTTGTTACGTGTCTAGATAAGACCTGTTGCTGGTCTTCGTCACCATTATTTCCGTACCCATGTCGATCATGCCGAGGGGAGAAAGAGGAGAGTAACCCACTTTTCCCCAACCATCCTGTGGTGTTGGATCCTCGCTTTGAGGAATCAGCGCCTCGCGACTCTCACTCCTCCTCCTCCTCCTCCTCCTCCTCCTCCTCCCTCCCTCCCTCCCTCCCTCCCCTCCCT